TGACTTCAGTTTAACTGGGGTTACAGAGGGTTAGATTTCCACGTTTGTTTTGAGCTTGTTAAAGGTACTGAACCTGATTACCTCACCAACCCCCCGTCCCTGAATGTGAGATCAATTGCCAAGCAGGGCCGAATCCTGCTGCCCAGGCCTTGCAGAGTACAGCACCTCCCCAAGAGCTCCTCAAGTTTTACACTTGGCACAAAATGGATGCAGCAGGGTAACCCCCCTCTCCAGAGCATATGGGACACACTGGCTCCTGATTCACAGCAAGCAGAACCAAAAAAGCTGGGGGAGGGGGAGGAGAAAGCCAAAGTGGTTTTGCTTCCCTAACGGGTAATTCGGCCTTTGGCCAGTGTGATTCTGGACCTGTACTTCCATACAGCTGAAGATACAAGAGAACAGCTCGAGCAGCAGGTCCTCCTGCACACAGTGCTGGTGCTACTCAGCACCACGATCTTCACAAAATTACCAGCTGTGCTCAAAGCAGAAAAAACAAACAAGCTAATAAAACCCCAAACCCTAAGCAACGACTGCAGTGAATAACGCTGGCTAATACGGGGAACGTGTCTCCAAAAAGAAGGGTCCTCATCAGGAGAGCACAAATGCCTTTCTGTAGTCACTGGTCCGTCATACACAGGACAAGAGGAAATGGCCTCAAGTTGTGCCAGGGGAGGTTTAGATTGGATATTCAAAACATTTCTTCACTGAAAGGGTTTTCAAGCATTGGAACAGGCTGCCCAGGGAAGCAGATGAGTCACCATCCCTTGAGGGATTTAAAAGACACACAGATGTAGTGCCCAGGGACATGGTTTAGTGGTGGCCTGGGCAATGCTAGGTTTGTGGTTGGACTCAATGATCTTAAAGGTCTTTTCCAACCTGAATGAATCTATGATTCTATGATCTTCCCTCCCTGGACAGCAACACCTCACTACGGAGGATGACCTGACAATGCTGATGGTAGCTGTACGGCACCGCTGGGAAAGCACCCAGGAGGACTTCTGTCACAGGGCAAACCTGGGACACATCCTGCTGCTGCAGAAGCTGGAGCCTGGATCACACAGTACCTCAGATAAGCTGAAATTCAACCATTTTGAATATATTTTTACAAAGCCTGACTAACAGTTTGCTTAAGAGCTCTTAAACACCAAGAGTAAATGATCTGAAAACTCATTTCTTACAAACAATTTCTGGGAGGAAGTTGGGAGTTCATGCGCTTACAAATCAATCACATGGTGGTTTATATTTCCTGAAGCTTCTCAAAACTGAGCGTGAAAAAAGATAGGATTTCTCACAAAGAAAAACTTAAGTATTCCTTTTGACTCACTTATATTAACCCCTAGGGACAAAAAACCTCAAAGAGAGTTGATTACTTAACCCTTGAAATTAAATGTCATTTGATATTAAAAAAAAAAAGAGTAATACTAGCAAAAAATGCAGCCAAGCATAAAAGCTCATGAAAATCTACCTAAATCTGCTTCTTATTAACATCTGCAAATGTTTCCACCAGCAGCTTGTTTGTGAAAAAACTGAATATGCAGGAAGAGCTTACACAATTTCCCAAAACTGTTTCTCCATGTGCACCATTCAGTGAGGGAACTGGCACGCAGAACCTAAAAAGTTTTCCTTGTGACAGAAGATAAGCTGGGTACAATTAAAGATGGAAAAATTGAGCAAATTAAGTACAAATTCAGGAACAGAGTAAAAATAGTCATTGCGGTTTGTTTAATAACAATCCAGGAACTCAGGAAGGGCAGAAGTGTGTTTTTAGCAGCATTGAAAATGTAAAATCTGAGAAACCACAGGGAAAGTACCAGAGCAAGAGGTGCGGCAGGCAGAGAGGAGACTAAGCACGGGGAAAGAGCTGCAAGCATCTAAATGTGTCTTATCCAGGCAGAGCCCTGGTAGCGGCTGCCAAGGGACGGTTTACGTAAGGCGGATGAGGCAGCGTTGTGTGCCACCTCGTGTTTTCTTTCGGATCCACATTTTGGAGCTATGACATTTTGTCCTCGGGTACCCAGCTGCAGCAGGAGGAAGAGTTCTCATGCTCTTTCTGTTCTCTGATCCAAATTTAGCATCAGTCATTGTCACAGAGCACCTACTAGACGTGCACAGGGGTGAATGAAATAACCAAGATGTCCTAGCGCTGTCACCTCGCCTTGCTCCACGGCCTGATTTTATGGCAGGAGAGCAGGGATCGCCTCGGAGGGGTTGCTGCAGCAGCCACACCATGGCCTGCAGCCCCAAGGGCCTGTGGACACCTCCTCTTGCTGCACAATTCCTGGAGATCGATAGCAGAACTCCAAGTACTGTCTAAATCGAAGCGGCCGACACAAGGGCTTCACGTCTGCCAAGGGTGAACAGTCACACTGCACCAATGCACATGCTGCACGGAACAAGGCGAGTGTCAGAGGACAACGCACCAGGTGCTCATTTTGACATCCACTGCAGTAGCATGTTGAACATGGTAATCCCAAAATGATGGGCATCAGACAAGCATGGATGCAAGGACCTCTCCAAGCTCTAAGAACAAGCACTGCAGACCTACCTCACAACTGCAAGCTCCAATTCCCAGCATGTCATTGTGTCCACAGATACTCTGTTCATCAGCCTAAACTGTTTGCTAATGATCGGAACTTTATCCAAACCTGAGTTCCCTGCCATATGGGCATGGTTATTTCTTTAAATCAGGACTCTGGCTAAAGGACTCGAGCCTGAAAAGCTCCTGCAGGGATAAAAAATGAATGTATGAACTCTATTTTCAACTCTGGGGCTGAAGTAACCCCTCTGCAGTTCATCTGTTTCAGAGAGGTGCCACTGAAACAAAGAGACTCTGCTTCTACCTGGTGTACAGAGAAAGACCTCAAAAATCCTAAAATAGCACTCTGTGTTAGTCAGTGTGATCAAGGGACTTGGACAGGACACACCCTGGTCTCTTTCTTTTGGGATCAGTGGCTCAAGCCAGGAAGCATCCAGGGATATTGTGGAGACCTATGAAGAAGTGTTATTTTCTGAAAGCAAAGAGCATTGGTCTCAGTCCACAAACATAAACATGCAGTAGCTGAAGTGAAAGCAGAGGTTGGCCAGCTGCATTAAAATGTCAGTTTATTTGCTAAACCAGAATCCTAGGAAAAAAGTTTTGGTTTTAAAATTTTATCAACTCTTCTTCTGTCAGGCACCATGGCTAAGGTCCTTCTTATGCCATATTAAGCCCATTATGCAGCCCAGCAGTGCAATTAGCTGCCTGCAGTGCCAGCCCTCCCCGGCAGCCAAGCAGCAGCCCTTCGCTCCCGTGCAGCGGTCCGCAGTGCAGGAGAAGGGCAGCTGCTCAGCCTGGCCAGGCTGCAGGCATCTTCAGGGGCACACACCCCATCTCCTGTTCCTCCTGCGCTCACCAGCTGGTTTGGGGAACGCCAGGGCACTGACACGAGGGTCAAACGGTTAGCTGGCTCCAGAGTTTCTGCAGATGACTCAGGGGCTTCTATTGCGGTGATGCCAGCCACCACCCACTGCACCAAAGCTCCTCCGAGTTTGCAAAAGGCAAGAACATGCCTCTTGGCTTGTCAGAGCGCAGTGCCTGCAGCAATATGAGCAGGCTGGCCCTAGGATTCTGGATGCTACCACACTGCAAATGATGCTCTTCAGTAATCACAGTATTTCTGCAGGAGCACGTACCCACAAAAAGTACTCTCTGGCAGTGGAAGCACACTGATATTATAAAAGGGTGTACATTGGTGTGGTTACACTGGATGGGACGATCCAGTTTAACATCCATTGCTGGAATTAGGAGTCTTGCCATCCCACCTCTGCCAGCCCCACACTGCTGCTGCTTCCTTTAAGTTCTGGTGGTAAGTAGATGCTTCTCAGAGCCAGCACAGCTCACATTAGCCCAGAAGTAGATCTGGCAGATGATAGTTTTCTGATGGATTTTTGAGTGGAATTGGCACATGCAATGGTCCAGCAAATGCTAAAGCTGGTGTAAGGGTAAGAGGTGACTAAGCAGAAAGACCTTCTGGTGTAAGCTTGGAATAGCTCTGGCAGCTCTTGATTCTTTTAAGTATCTTCCCATTACTGATGCTGTATAAACAAGAGTCCTGGAAAACAATCTGACAGCACAGCCCACACAGGGCAGTCCTTTGAGTAGGGACATCAAGAGAATTGCTGAAGGCACAAGGAGACTAGTCCCTAAGGAAAGGAAGGAGGTGAACACTGGAAACAGCACTGCTTTGTGTGCATGGGGGATTTCAATGCTCTCACAAAGGAAAACACACTGACCAAGGTTACAGAACTTGAAACCTGGTCTGAAAAATGCTTTTTAAAATGGCAGTGCACAAATATTTCATAATCATCGATTCCAACCTTGCTATGGGAATTTATGGAACAAGTTTGTCAACAACTTACAAATCTGAAGAGATCCCTGTGCACTGTGCTACAGATGTACTGGCTTTGCAGAGCTACATCTGGCAAATGCTCATTTCAAGTAGCAAGCAAACAGGACACTGAACAAACACAAGGCAGCAGAAAACCAGAAATGCACTGAGGAGTCTAGAAGTAATCGAAGGGAACAAAAGAGAACAACGTTGTTGCTATTACTTTCTGCCTGTGGTAAGACAGACAATACACAGGAATGCAATAGCCAGAAGAAGAGGAATCAACTTGTGCGCTGAACAGTAGAGAGATAGAAAATATCCCCTTTCTGCATCAGAGGCTGCAACATACTCCTCTACAATCCCTTCACCATGTGCTGCCTCCAGGTGTGCTGCTCAGCTCCACCTCCACTGCCCTGTGCCTGTAGGAACCAGGCCTTTCATCAGGATCCCCAAGAGCATACTTTATTTCAGGTGATACCATTTGAAAGTGACATTTTACAAGATCCAAAGACATCCTAAATGTCACTCACTGGACCCTTCCCTCTGGCCACATGCCACAGCTGGGGCTGCCCAACACTCATGCGACACCCAGACTGCAACAGAACAGTTAGAAAAGAGGGCTCAAGGACATACAGTTCGTAGTTTTGATCTTCTGTCTCTTGCTGCACTGACAGCTCCTCCAAAGTTGCATCAATATCCAGCTGATTCGTCTCCAGCTGCCGTAGCAACGTCTCCCTCTGAAGAAAGGAAAACAAGCTGGGTCTGAGCAGGAAGGGTCATTGTCACAGATCCCTGCGCGCTCACAGGGTGCAGAGAGATCCTGTGTCACCACTCTACCCACGGCAATGAATTAAACAGGAACTTGGGTCCCTCTCATGGTGTTCAGCTTAAATACAGAAGCACAAAGGGAAGCAGAAGCAGTAGCAAAAGTACATTAAACCAGAAAGACTGTGTGTAAGAAAGTAATTTGTTCTGCTATACTCAACCATAAATCAATAATGTGTGACTCTCAGAAACAGCACTGCCAGCTGCATTTGGAGAACTCCTGCGGAGAACAGTTGGGCAACCCATTCATTCTGATTTTATTTTTAACCTGTGCTAAAATTTTCTTTTTACTTTCAGGGTAGATGAGTGAGCACAACCTGTCAACTCAGTGAAACTTTAGAAGTCACGGCCCCTCTGCCTTCAGCGGTTGTCCCGCACACGGGGTACAGACACTCCAGTCCATTGCAAACGTGCAATGAGGTGAGTTGGCTTCACTCATGTAAACCAGCGGAGTTTAATTCAGTCCTTCCCTGTCCATATTTCCAACAGAATCCAACAAAAACCTCATCTTAGGTGAAGTGCTTGCTTAAAAGGCTCAAAATCAATTGCAAATGGTCACAGAACACTCCTCTCGATTAGCCCGGATGACAACGGGAAGAGATCAATAACCACACGCATTACGCTGAGACTGCACGGGCATGGCCAGCTCCAAAGGCTGGCCCGCAGCCGCTCCAGCACCAGCCTCCTCTGTGACAGCCCTGAGCCGCAGGGCTAACACAGCATCCACCTCTGCAGAAACATGATTCAAGATCCTCTGGCCAAGACCAGAGCTGTCTGTGGCCACTGCCCCATTCCACGGTACAAATCCTGCGCCAGAGCCCCTTCCCCTCTGCTCAGCTGCGGCTGCTGTCACCCAGCCGGGTGCTGGTAATGGCCAGGCTCCTGCCACCAGCAGCCCGCTGGCTCCTGGGTCAGTTTACAGATTGAATTCTGGAGTCAAAAGTCATGATCTTCAGCATCTGAAAGTGTGAGTCCTCCCTTGCGCAGTGCTGGCGTAGGAGATGGCCCAGGAGGCAGGGACAGCTTGTGCTGAGACATGGCCGATGGCTCAGGGCGCTGCATAGTGCCTGTCACAGCAGGGTCCATCGGTGCCACAGGGTGCCCAGCCACACCGCCCAGACAGGAGGAGACAGCAGAGGAACCCCGGGTTTCCTCCAAACTGCAAAGGATTTTGCTTTTACAACTGCCTTACCCTCAACGTACATTTAAGCTTTCTACTACGACAAATATTTTTGAAGTTTAGCATCAATAACTGTGCTGAATGTTCAATTCCATGTTTGACAACACATACGCTCACTGCAGAAAGATCCCACTGGGATGAAAAGCACAAAAGGAAATCTACTATTTAATTTACAGAATAAAATCCCTATGAGAAGACAAACCTTTAGAGAAAGCAATGGCATCCAGTGTCTCCATGCACATACTACTGATAACATAGTTTCGTAGACATGACGATTTCAGAGCTATCAAGAACTGTACAGATTTAAGAGCAAGTAACTCACCTGCCTGACATACAACACACCACACTGCTCTGTCCAGGTGAGCAGGCAGGGCACAGCTGGAGCCCTCCATGGAGCTGGCTGATTTACAGCAAATTCTACCATGACTTAAATTAGAAAGCAAGGCTTAAGTAATTTTTATTTTGTATTATAAGACCTGGTGATTGATAGCGGTTGGTATTGTTTAAACATGCTAATTTACTGGAAGATACAGTCTTTCTTGAAATTTAAGAGATCATCTAAGCTAATTTACATTTAGATTCTTAATTTTTACCTTTGTCATTGTGTTACAAGCTTGGAGTGATCCATATTTCCTTTGCTAGGTAATTCTGATTCATCATATTCATAAGCTCTATGCAGATGGCAACTTGACTTCAATTTACATGTATATAAAGAATTATGAAGTCATTAGTTAACTCTAATTCTCTTTATTGTGGTATACAGACAGGAAAGATTCAGCAAAACATGCTAGACATATTTAAACTTGCTACACTAAACAGAAAAGTACTAATCAAGGCTTTAGAAGTAATTCTAGATTTTAGAATTCAAATTCTAGATTTTAGAACGTAAGATTCAAGAAATTCAAGATGTTTGCCTTTCCTCATACTTTGTCAGTAAGACATGTACCAGAGTTGTATTTATTTAAATTTTCACAGATCACAGTAAATTAAGAACCGAGGTAGAACCAAGAGAGAGATGCATTTAATTTTGTAAAAATTCATCACTAATAACAGACTTCCAAATACTTAAAAAATAAATTATATTTTACCATGCTGGTATTAAAATATTAAAGAAACAGCTTATTTTTAGCAATGACCCAAAATAAAGGAATTAATCATGTGCTGCAGACCAATGCTTTGGCTGAACACCACTCTCAAGTGCTTCCTGGGAAAAGACAATTTCAGCTGTCTGCAGAATTTTGGCTCCTTCCAGCACAGCATCCGAAGGCTCAGTTGACCTGATACATTATGTGGGCCACCAGCAATACCTACAGTTAAATGGCATTCTCAGGTTTGACAATCCTTCCCCTGGAAAGGAACTGATAAATAATTGAAGAGCCTGGGCTGCTAGAGGGAACGTGCTCTACACTGGGGGTACGAATTTCAGCCACCGCTTTCTTCATGAAAGATGCATGAACGTAAGCTGAACAGAGAAATGTGGAACTTAAAACCAACGCACTGAACACCAATTTCGCTAAAGGACAGCGTGGAATCTGGCATACAGCTGAACAACTCCTCTTCCCCTTGAGAGCTGTGGGAGGCTGGGCTGAGGAACACAGAGACACCTCAGAGGTCGATTAAGACTGATTTAATCATATGTGCATTTAATACCTGGTAGCATTCCTCTCTTTTAACCAAATACCAGGGAAATTACCGCTTTCTGGAGCCTGTTACCGGCAAGCCTCTCTGAAGGTATAAGCAGAACTGTTAGGAATTAAGTCTAGCTGTGATTTTCCAACCAATGTTAACATCATGCTGCACAGGCTGTTAATCAGGCCCCGCGGGGCCAGCCCTGGCTCGCTGTGTCCCCGAAGGCAGGACTCCCAGCAGGTCTGCAGGAGCAGCAGAACGCCCAGAGCCACCCAGCCGCAGCTCCTGCAGAGCAGCACAAAGCTCTTCTAATAATTGTGCCACAAACGCAAGCAGCACTGGAAAAACTAAGTGCTGTAGATCTCGGCTGAAGTTTAACATCAAGTAAAGCCCCAAAATCTGTGTGGAAGCAACTAAAAGACTACAAATTTGCAGTGTCACCTACCATGGAACAGAAGGGCAAGGCCAGGCATCTCCTGCACACCAGCGGGAAATGACACGAGCCATCTCCACACTGGACCCAGTGCTGTGATTTTTTTTCAGAATGCACAGAAAAGCACCTGCCTGCAATCCCTGCGTAAGCACAGAACTGCAGGAATTAGCATTGCTGTTTTAAAGGAAAAGCCAGGCAGCTGTGGGCTGCTCACTCTCCTTGAATGCCAGGCACAGGACAACCTCCTCAACTGCTGCCTTCTGTGGTGAGGTACAAACAACACAGCAAACATTTACAAGCATGGTTTATATGAGCCCATCCAAATCTCCCCTTGCACGTTTTAGGAACTAAACTGTAATGAGAAGTCATTTCAGGTTTGTTTCTGCAGTGTTGAATTATCTAATTACATTACATGAAAACCGCAGGATTTGGGAGTGTAAATATGTGGCACCTGCACCTTTTGGATTACCCCCAGTGCCACCCCAAGCCCACTGTGCAGGAGAACAAATGTCGCCTGGTCACCTCATTTTCCCTCACCTCTCCTAAGCAACCACCACTGGAATCTCCAAACAACTAAAGGTTTTATCAGATTTATTTATTCTACTTCCCTGAAGACCAAGATCTGTCCAAGAAGTTCTCTGGCTTTGGGGCCAATTACCTTATCTAATTGCTTTCAGTCTCAGATTAATAGATCACGCTTACTTACACACAGCACATTTAAATAAAAGGTCCTGTTAAGACACGCATGCTAAAGCTGCTTCCAAGCAAATCCAACACTACAAATGCTTCCGTATGTCCTGCTTATAACTATGGCTAGAAAAATCACTGCATATACTGACTGTTAACAGCATCACTAAGAGCCGCTTTCAGAAACAAATCTGGCAGGAAGCCTGTTCCAATGTCTTTTTCTCTTATCAACATCTATTTGAGAAGAAAAGGAGAGACCTACAAATCTGACAAAAGTAACCTTGGAACTAATTATTCTGCATGGTTTCCACAAGACATCACTTTACCATAGGAGCTGAGGTTACAAAACCAAGCATTTAACCAGCACCATGCTGGTAGCTTTCAACCTTCTCCACTGAGCAGCAAGCTGGGTTTATATCTCAGATCTCTACAACTTCTTCCTCAAAAATATATTGTTTGACTTGTTTTACTGGGGTTTTATACATTTAATTTTCTTATTCTGGGTCTTTCTGCTCTGCAGCCTGAGGATGTGGTAACATCCACTAACATATCTGAGATTCTTCTGAACTAGCATTTTGGTGGGGTTAATTTGTATAAAAATACACATACACATTTCAATTACTGGTGACAGATATCAACTGCCTGCTTTTTTCCATCCAATTAAAACAATGATACAACATCATATGTACCCCCCCAAAAGCATGTGATGTTGATCCCAAAAGACCCCCGTACGATCACCCAAAAGGTCCAGTTCTAAGGGACCATAGCTGAGAACTCCCCCCTTCTGTGCCCATTCAGCCTTTGCCTTTCCACTCACTCCACCCAACTATGAAGGAAATACGAGACTTGGATCCATGTGCATAGGATCCAAGCAGTTACCGTGAGGGCAAAGACTTTCAGCAAACGGTTATCCCTGAACTGTTCAGTTCATGACCAAATCTCTTCTCCTCTGAGTTTTAACTGAACAGAATTTAAATACAACGTTTAACAAGTGCGTATCTAACATTCTCGACTTCATAACTCCACCATTGGATGTAATTTTCCTGCCAGTGTTATTCATCACCTTGGATCCTTTCTCCAGAGGTAAGCATTTGCAAACACACTGAAGAGTCCTCTCGCAAGCAGAGATGTCCTCACGTCACAGGCACCAATGTACTAACAGAACTTTGTTAACAACTCTTATGAAAACAAACATCTACCCAGGATTCTTTAACAAAAAAAGAAACACCAAATCCCAAATTCCTGCCATAGAGACAGAGAAAACAGAATCTGTCCCACCCAGCCAGCACAGCAGGGAAATACCCTCTCTCTTACCTGCAGCTGCAAGAAAGGGATGTTGAAGAACTTGTGCAGGTACTTGAGGCCAAAGCTGTTCTTCATGGAAGACTCAGCGTAGCGAAAATATGAGGAGCCAGGAGGCCTGTCTCAACCAGATAGGTAGAGAGAAGAAAACTGTACAAAGGACACAGACTGCATGCACACAGCAGAGGCACTTGCTAAACTATACACCATGAACAACCCTCATGTGCAAGCCAACCCCTCAACCCCCGAATGTAGGCTATCAGGTCATCCCGCTAGGGACTTGTTATTTTGTTTACATAAAAAATTCACACTTTGTTCCTCCCCAACTATGGCAGAATGCGGCTGTTGTTGTGTCAGTGTCACGGGGCTGTCAAGACTACAGAAATACTATGTCAGGACACAGGGCCATTGGTTTACTAAACTGGGGGTTTCACAGCGGTACAAGTTGTTCATCTCTCAGTGAAGGTTTTCCACAAGCAGACCTACATTAAGTCACAAGCATGAGCAGTGGGCATTAAACTCAACTAAATCCCATATAGAGATGAACTGGTAAAGAAATTATCACATTGCAGAATCAAGCTTTAAAGCTGATGCCATTCCGGTGTGCCTGACACAGACACCAACAAATAAGAGCATAGGAAAATGAAAAAAATCTCTAAAAAACATGAAACCACACCAAAAAGTACAATCTGTTGAATCCTGAACAAGAAATAATATTTTGTATGAAATAACAGAGAGTCCTAGATCTCTCCATAAGGGAAAATCTTTCCTGGCTGGCAAGGGAGGAGTATGACTTGGCTGTGCCCAGTAAAAGTTGCGTGGGAACGCTCTCGGAGGAAGAGCAACGAAGACAGCAGAGAACAGTTGTGCTGCAAGGAGAGGATTTCAAGGAAGAAATGTTTTCCTGTGCGGGGGGTGAGGCAGTGGCCCAGGTTGCCCAGAGAAGCTGTGGATGCCCCATCCCTGGAGGGGTTCAAGGCCAGGCTGGATGAGGCTTTGGGCAACCTGGGCTAGTGGGAGGTGTCCCTGCCCATGGCAGGGGGTGGCACCGGTTGATCTGTAAGGTCCCTTCCAACCCAAACCATCCTGTGATTCTGTGATTCTATGAGTCTTCCACAAGAGAAGGACTATCCAGAAAGAAGATGACTTCTTGGGAAAAGTACTTCTGAAAGGGCCACACCAACAGGCACTCAGTGCTTCCAGGAACACAGCTAAGAATCTGCCCAGAACAGGCTCCTAGACCAAAGAGCCCATCGTGTCATCTGAAGCTGCTGTATGAGACACCCGGAGCTATGTAAGTGCACAAGGTAGGCACGGGGTCAGAAAATGAACGTGATGTGCATCAGAAACACAGCAGCAATATGGTTATCTGCGGCCAACGACAGAGAGTAGCTGAGGTCTGCTCCCCTGCCCGGTGACTGTGGTGCCATCTTACCTGTTTAGATTGTTGATGAGGTCCCGCACGTCACCAGGCAGAATGACCCGGTGCTCCCCCATGTCTCGGTAATTCCCAAGCACGCACACTGGAACGTGGGTCGGCACTTTGGGAAGCTCCCTCAGAATATAATTAAATGTCCTTCACCACAGGAGAGAGAGATAAAGGGAGATGAGTGGGAAACACCATTCTGTGAGCAGTTTCATGCACAAATCACAGAGAAAAAAAAAATTTTTTTTCCAAAATCCTTCCAAGATCGTGGCTACTTTGCTCCCCTCAGAGAAATACATTAACTGTAAATATGTTTGCAACATTCTTTATTCAAAAACAAGTTGACAAGTTCAGTAACCCACTTCCACCAGCAACCTCACATCTCCTACAGCTATAGTTCCCTCAGTCCTACAAAACGGTGTGGGGTCAGCAGAAGGAAAGGATTGCCTCCCTTCAGCTGTCAACAGGCTCACTGACCCATATCAATGCCCTAAAACACAAGCTCAAATATAAAGCAGGAACTCGTACCACCTCCTCTTTCCACTCTGGCTTCCATATGTCTCTCACCCTCCTCAGCCGATGTGCAAAACGAACAGTTCATTATTTCTGTACATTATTGCAGCCTAGGGCCTCTAAATAATCCTTACTAATACCAGTTGTCCTGGGAATTTCTTGCTAGCATTCCCCTTTCCCTTGTGTTCTGGAGAGCATGGGTTTGTAACACGCCCAGCACACTTTGCACCTGAGATAGCGCTAATTACCCAGCCTCAGCCAGCAGTATATCAGCAACTGCAGCACATGAGCCCGCAGGGAGCCTGCTTGTTTGAAATGAGCCCAGGAGAGGAGAATATTAGAAGACATGCCAGAAAATACAGCTATTATTTTAAGGGATACAAGCTTGCTTCAACTCATTAGGCTGGATATCAGCTCCAGAGTCTATCTGGGAATGAAGAGGTCTAGAAGTAATTTGTTTTCACTAAACAAGCAAGAATCACGTGCTGCATGCCACTGAAGATGTCTTACCACTGTTTGGTGATGTCAAACATCATCACTACGCCATTGCAGTTCTTATAGACATCCAGGAACTCTGCATCCAGAGCCATTTCTGACTCTGCCTGAGGAAATAAAGGCAAAAGACACAGTAAATAACTTGATTCAACTTCAGGCTTGTACAGAACACAACTGATGTAGTGCTGAACAGGCCAACTTTCTGAAGTTACAGTCACTTTAAGAGGTATCCATGGATTTCATATCATCATCATCCAAGCAAGACACACAGTGGTTCACAGCTTCCATTGCCCACAGGAGCAGGACGAGAAGCACCTGACAGTCTCTGAAAAAACATGTCTGGCAGCAAATGCTAGACACCCTCCCCCTTTCCCCTGTGCCCCCAAATCCTGTGCTGACAAGATAACTCCATATAACCTACAAGACGGAGGACAGAAGACACAGCTCCCATTCCATCTCTTTGCCAGCCCAAACATTGACTGTACTTCTAATGCTTCTGGTCTACACAGCCACGATGCAGCTTCTACTGCGTTTCTCCCACACAGGGCTGAAAGTCCTTATTAGCACCACCTTTGCTTTTCATCGTTTGGACTCTGCACACTGCAAAGTACAGTACTGGTCACAACTCAGCCTCCAAGGCTCCTGCTGGAATTTGGTGCCCATGGAACAATTCTTGCTCATCTCTCAGGAGTGGAAAATGCACCTGCGCTTGTGAGAGAAGCAGCAGCTGTAGTATCTGTTCTCATAGAGGCTTTTTCCCCCAGGAGAACATTCCCCTAATCTGACCACACAGATCGAGCAGGACTAGCACCCTGGTGAAAGAGGTGACTATTCACTGCCTCGACCCATCCCCAGAAGCGAGTGCTCAGCTCCCTCCATATCAGCCTTCCCATCAATTTCAACAAAGCGGTTATTGAGTACGAGAACATCGCCAGTGCACTGAGCCCCAAAGGGCACTGACACAGGAATGGGAGCAATAAAGCTCTTTCAGAGCTGCAGCAGAGATCACGGGATCAAGGGCCTTTGAACTGATTTTTTCCAGAGGATAAAACTGTATAGATTTTGAAAGAGGTGCTGTGGAAATGCACTGGCAGCCCAAATGCAGTTTGAGGAAAGTGGTAGCATGGTCTCCCACAGGGCACTTGGATCTTCTGCTGCAGAACAAAAGGACACACACCTGTGCAAGAGCCTTGAGGAAGCCACTGTTTACTTGTATGCTCTGTGCAGCACTGCTATTGCCCTTCCCCTCTGCATTTCAAAGGGTGTTAAAAGGGAATTGTCAGCCCAGTTTCAAGGAGCAGCCAGAGAGCATGGCATCAAGTGACTTCTTCAAGTCTCACAAGAAGTCCATGACAAAAGGACTTCCTGCCACCTGCAGACAGGTACAAAGTTACCTTAAGAGTAAACATCTGGGGCCAGTCATTTCCAAAAGACAGAATGGAAAACAGCAGGAAAGTTGCAGTGAGGGCACGAATGAGGATAAAATGCACAGGCAAAAGAGTGAAGAGCATCAGGGATCACATTGCCCCTCCTCTGCCTGCGGGGCCAGCCTTAAAGCAGAAACAAATATAGAACTTACTCTCCAGGGACCAAAGGTGGACTAGAGGCCTCCCACTAAGAGGCAGACATCTGCATTCAAGGTGACTCACCTCCTGAGGGTCATTCTCCAGTTTCAAACCATCTCCTCGTTTTTTGCATTTTCCTTAAAAAGAATTGCAAGAAAAGAAAAAAAAAAAAGAAAAAAAAAGCATTACACTGTGCAGAGAACTCCAGGATGGGTCTGGGCAGAACCACAGCATTCTGAACATGACCTTAAAGCAGATCCAACTTCTACTAGAAGCATGGGGAAGGAGGAGGGGAGGGACAGGCACGCCTTGCTGAAAAACACCAGCTGCCCTGTTCAAGAATACCAGCTAGTCTAATTCAAAGATCAATAAAAAGAAAGGCTGAGGCAGCTTAAACCACGCTTTTCACAGCATAAAGTCACAATGACTGAATAACGCAGGGTTTGGTGCACTCCCTGACCACAAAGGGAAGCTGCTTTGTTGCACTTTTTGTTGCATTAGTGTTGAAGAAGCAAAAGATCATGGGGCTGCTATGACTGAACAGCACAACTACATCCGCAGCCTTCCCGAGATGCTACGACATCGTGGTGCCATCACTGACCTGACGTAAGCAGCCTGGAAAATACACATGATCCAGAGCCCATCGGGTGCTTTGGGCTGACTTGTCACCAAAAAAAAAAGGGGTGGCAGAAGACTATAAGAATTTAACAGCCAAAAGACAGACCAGTTATACAAGGGGAAATCCAAAAAAACTCAAACAGTGGCGAGGGGCTGGTGGAGAAGCAGAGCAGAGCCAGCCCACGCGTGCATGGACGGGCAGAGCCAGAGGGTCAGGTCTGGCCGCCCCCAGCAAAGGAAATCCTCCAGAGGCACCGTTCAAAGCCACATGCTCTAGAGACACGCACACAAAAATAACCTGGAAGACAGGTTACTGTCTGATTCAGCTCACAGGAGAGTGCAAGAGGTAACGGGCTGAACACTTGGGGAAGACACTAGAAAACCACCCAGAGCCCTGCCCTGCAGTCCCACAGCCACAACCCCACCCGGAGGAATCAACAGGTTTCTCTCCAACTCATCTGCTTCCTCTGAGGCACGTGCTAAAACACAGCCCTGAAAGGCCAGACTCCCTGAGACTGATCCCTTTTCTTACAGCTTCAAAAGCACTGGGTAAGTTCACAAACTGACATTTTAAAGTATCACTGACATTTGACTCAGCACCCCCAGAAAAGCAGTCAGTGTTTTTAAAGCTGAAAATTTTGCCTTATATCCGCTACACCGTAATCATGTTTCCAAATCTTAGAGCCCGCAACCAGAGCGGACAGATGAGGACACCCTGCACGTGCACCGGGATTAGCCGGGTGTCCGTCAGCTAACCTGCCCTCCTGGTGTCGACACTAAGCACTAAAACTGCTGCGAGCTCAACATGCAGCAAGGACATCGTTCACCTTGTGCTGAAGAAGTTTACTGTGGACATACCACGAAAACTCTGTCCTTGCCCCCAGGTACTGATTAAACCCTACCTATGTACACCAGTTTCCAGAGTTTTATCAAATAATGAGCACTGCACAATAACCCTGCAAGGTCTACAGTTACGTTTCACAAATACCTCCCAGATGTCACTAACAGCAGTTCAGAGCTGTGCTTCTGAATTAACTTTGTTCCGTGTTTCCCTAGACTAAATAACGATGAGTTAACTGAATTATAATGGCAGGCACTTGGAATTCCACAGAACGTGTTGGCAGCTCGGATGCACCCACAAAAAACCCTCCCAGTGACCCTTTAAAAGACCCTGCAATGCTGGGGACCAAAATAGCTCCCACCAACTATTCAACTCTGCTGATTAACATGGAGCGACTACTTGTAAAATTCACGGTTCTGCCAGATGCTGCATGTGAAACAAAGTGTTTCATTCTTTTTGCACACAGGTCAAGGATAAACAGCTATGAAATACACAGTTATTAATGAAAGTTTTAGTGCTGCAGGATAGAGCAGGAGATCCCAGTCCCTACACCCTGACAGTGTGTCTGGGAGGTGTTTCTTGTGCGTCACTGGAAATGTTTGCCCCTGCCTCGCATTATCTTACTGTTGACATCTGAGAGTAGCAGAAACATTAATCCTGATGCATTCATGCAATGTGTTTCCCTGGAGGATCCAAGCATGGGCTCTGACTTTTCCCAGTACAACTGAAGGTGTGGGATGTCTAGGACGTGCATGCCTTTTCCCACTTCAATTAATTCCATTTCAAGTCAGTGGCATTTGTGTGGCTTCTCTGAATGCCAAAACATCACTATTTCTGCAGCTACTGCTAAATTGTGCTTGGCTTGACCTGAATTTCTAGGTATTGAAACAGAAGTCCAAGCAACCACAAATACCCTGCATAGGTCCTCTCATCCTGAGCAACTGAGGTGTCTTTCTAGCCTGGACACATTCACAACCAGTGCTTTCAGACCGAATACATGACTCACACGCCTCTGCCTGCCTATGGCTTTATGTGTGTATCGAGAGGAATGAGCAGTAGTCCTACATGATGCTCACTGCTGCTGTAAAGGAGGTCATCTATAAATGGGTAAGAGCTGAAAAGCGCATGTGTGTACATATTCATGCACAGTGTCTATTTTTGGAACCAAAACTGCAGGATGAGCCAGATAAAGACAAGATGGATGTAGCGAAAAGATGCAATTCAGGCTGTAAAGGGAAGTCTACAATAAAGATTGTGCTGTTACATGAATGAGGTCCTGTGTTTAAGGTTGCACTGATGTGCAATCTAGGAGGCCTGATCAGAAAGCAAGGGTCTTCATGCTGCAACTGCCCAGCTTCTCTATCTAGAATGGTGGCTGCTTCTTATTTACAGGCATAATGGCAACACTGAAACCAAATCACCTTGCAGCAGTGCCCCACAGTCTCCAGAACAGATCTAACCGAACACCAGAAGACTGGGTTCATGGCCAGCCTCTGCACCCCTATGGACCATCAGTTTGCTGCAGGAGAGCAAGGAGTCTGTGCAGCTTGCCAACAACTGCTGTCCACAGGGCAAGGGAGATGCTTCTGTTCACCATTCAAAAATACAGGTCGAGAATATTTGCATCCCCAGTGTTACCTAACTTATGCATCTGAAAATAAAAGAAATATTAATTCTGATCTTTCCTCCTTCTCGCTGCACACCTCTGCAGTAAGTACAGTAAGAGGAAAGGAATCTCCAATATGGGGAAAAGAGTTTATGCTATTCTGGGGGCAAGGGAAAAAACATATGATTTGATCCCTTTAGAGTATTGGAAACGATGCAGGAACCGAACCAGCAGAAGTCACAAGCCAGGAGATCAGAACTGCTCTTGAATCACCTGCATTCAAGCAGCTTCTTCGCATTCAGGATCTGTTGCAGCTTTATGACCTGCAGCAGTTACACAACTTGCTGCAAAGCCAGAAAGATGAGTCAGGACTGTGACTTCTGCTGATAGAGATCTTTCCTATGTTCTATTAGTTCCAAGGGCAGCAAAGGAGCCGGTATTTACTGCACACACCACACAAAATTCAATACAATCCATAGCTGGGGGTAAGCTCTACTTAAGATTTTCACAAACAGCATCATTACACAGACGAGCCCCGCTCCCTGAGCAGGCTGCAGGTAAGTCAGCACTCCAGTGAGTCTGCACATCAAAAAAAGAAATCCCAAAGAGTCCAGAAAAAGGTACAGCACAGCGGTTGCCATTTCTCCCTGCTCCAGTGCGCTAACCAACCTGACAGGTTTTAAGCTTTTACACCAAATCTCCCCACACTTCCAGCTGAACATCTCTATGCTACACAAATGACACCAGGCAGGCAGGGCCATCAGAGCTGCCTCCTGCATTCCCAAAACAGGCTGGAGGGAAATCAACACGCACTGCTGAACTAGCACTGCTGAGCTAACCAGGACGAGGAGGCACGCTGATGGTAAGCGTGAGGAGAAACACTGTTTAGTAAAATCACATTTAACTTCAGTGCGAAAATGTACATGAAGTTCTTCAGGGAGCAACTTACTAAGTTTCCCCAAATCCTCCTGTGCAAGATGACCCTGAGACATGAAGAACGGCAGCACTGCAAAGCAGAGAAGAGGCTGAAGCTGCTTTACAAGGCTGAGGTTGAAAACTGCAGTTTACAGATGCATGTTTTAGATGTCCAGATACATCCCCACATCAGGCTTTCAATATGTATTCAAACATCTTAATTTAAATAGAGATCTCAATTTTCTCTAACAAGGAACAATTCTTCCAAAATGGGGCAACACTGGCAAAAAAATGTAGCCTGGAAAACAATGTAGGTTGAAATGCATGTTCAGAACACACATTTTTTGGCAGTTTCAAATCCAGCCTGATAAATGCAGCATTCTGCACAACTCTAGAGATGCACATTAGCTGGGATCTGGTAGGCAAGGAAAAAAAAGGAGGATCAGGACTTGTCAGCACTATGCTGCAGCAGCAGTGGGTACTCCGCTACTACAGGTCTACAGTCTGGAGTAGTGTCACTCTCACCAAAAGCATCACGCAGGAGGATCTTTTGTCCTAAGTATACAGAAAGAAGAACAAAAATGTCATGAGATAACATTAAGATGAAAGTCAGAAATGAGAAAGCTCTTCATGGCTAATTTGCACATTTTCCTGAAGTTGTACTTATCATGAATCCACAAAGCTATGGCAAGAGGAACGGATTTATTTTGTTACATCACGATGCTCTGAATTTTTACACTGTATTGACAAAGTACACTTGATTACATAAAAATAAATATCTGTGGTCCATAAGTAGGGATCTTCACTGAATGAGTTTTGCTTCAAAAGAATATCAAGTGGAGAGAAGATAGCCCCTAGAGATTTCTAACGCATGCTCCACTGTCAGAAATGAAACCAGGATCAAAGAGCTGTTATCAACATCTGCACATATCAAACCCGATCTGTTTTGCCAAAAAAATGACAAGTCTCTAGTTGAGCAGATGACTCTGCTCAGAGAAGCTATTCCCAGAAATAAGTGCTAGAACCACATGATTCTCAAATTAACTATCTATTCATACCGAAGTTGCAAGGTGGCGAGAAAACAAATGTGTTGCTCGATTCCAGCCCTGCACACGCTATCCCAGGATGTGAAAACCAAACTGTAATCAGACTGACTTCAGCAGTAATTCTGACCTAAGTACAGTTTTGTCTACACTGTGAAAACGGAGGTTTAAAACAATAAAAAGGTAAAGCACCCAGGATTTTCATTTAAAGTTACTGGCTCACGTTTAACCTAAAGGCTCCATTATGCATCTGAACTAGAGCTGCTATCTTTAATTACCTTTTTTTTTTTTTACTATTTTAAATACAATTTAGTTAACATGAAAAATTTAATTTCTAATTTTCCCACTCCCTGTTGTACTTATCTTTTCATTTTTTGGTGTTAACGCATGTGCAAGCCGCACAGGTGGTACAGCAGAGGCAGTGCACCTGGGACACAGTTCTGCCGAGGAACGTGTGCCAGCACAGATTCCAGCTGAGCCTGCAGGAAAGGTAGCAGCAGCCAGACCACAAAAGTTTACATTTCAATGACTGTGGTCAACAGATTTGACTGACAGAATCACACAGACAAGGAGCACAACCCACAGAGCACGAGATGCTCACTTGTAAAGCTGCTTTCCTGACCATACGCACACATTAAACCAGGAGCCTGGCTGGTGCAAAATGCCTCCCAAAACCCAAACAATACCTGCACTTGGGGCTACCGAACGGATCCTGTTTGGATTTCCACCTGAACCCCAACCCCTTCTAGCAACAGATTCCACCGCCTCCAGATTTGCACTGCATCCAGATTGTGTCTTCACGTATGTTTCTGGGGTTTGTTTGTATTGTTTACAAAACTCTAACAAAAATTGAAAATCACTGAAAAATGTATTTATACATCATAATGCTTTCCCTGGCTAAGCATTTAGAAAAATATTTTGGATTAAATATATTGCATTTTCTGTGCTAAGTGAATTTAAGTAATTGGTTTCTCACTTATCCTTCTCTCCTGCACATGTTATTCAGAAAACATTTTATCAATTTAACAATAGCATTCCTTTACAAAAACAGCTCAGCAAAAACTTTTATAAATAGAACAAAGAACTTAGTAACTGTCTAAACATACATAAAACTATAAAGGAGAGAAGATGAAGTTTATTACGAAGTTCAGAGAATCTGAATACACTAAGCAGCAGGCTATTTCATCTGTCACAGAGCACATGAAACAACTGCTTCTGAATATTGGCTTTGATCTGAAGTTCAGACAGCAAAGAATGGGCTCTAGCACACGAGAGTCCTCTCTCCTTTCCATATTTTTTCAGGAAGTAACATCCATGTACTTAAAAAAAAAAGTATAGACATTTTTCTAAAGTAGAAGTAAGGAGGTATTTCTGCATTCCATATAAGTTTTTAATTAAAATTGTGAAAGAACAATGAATTAGAAATTCCTATTAGAAACAATATTTTTATTCTGTATTTCTATTCCATATTTCAAATTCCTATTAGAACAATTCCTATCAGAAAGGAAGTTAGAAATCTTACCTTTGTCAACTACATCCCAGACTTCAACTTTAACGATGTCGTCAGTGGCTGAAAGCACAATAAGAACACAAAGTGTTAGAAGAGGGTTGCGGTAAGACGGCCAACACTCACCACAGAGACCCTAACCCACAGCCATGAACGTCAGAAGAAATGCAATTCTTGAGTGAGTTAAAAGAAAACCCAAACATAACAGGAAGGCAGGCTGCTGTTGAAGGTCCCAGCTGTACACCAGACTGTGCTAAAGAACTTCCTAAAGACCCTTAGTCGCAAGAGTAATAGCTAGATTTCCTTGACGTTTTATGTCAGATTTGAAGCACGTTATAAATATTTTGTGTAGATTCCTTTCTTAACATACAGAGGTTTCCATATTCTTTCAAAAAAGATACAAATTTGATTTGGAGAATAAAGTCTGCTCTATAAGCAAGGTGTATAACGGAAAAAAACCGAATACATACATCTTTGTCAGAGACATGGACAGTGGGATTGAGTCCACCCTCAGCAAGTTTGCCGATGACACCAAGCTGTGGGTGTGGTGACACGCTGGAGGGAAGGGATGGCATCCAGAGGGACCTGGACAGGCTGGAGAGGTGGGACTGTGCCAACCTCATGGAGTTCAACAAGGCCAAGTGCAAGGTCCTGCACCTGGGTCGGGGCAACCCCCAGCACAGATACAGGCTGGGAGGAGAATGGATCGAGAGCAGCCCTGAGGAGAAGGACTTGGGGGTGTTGGGGGATGAGAAGCTCAACACGACCCAGCAGTGTGTGCTGGCAGCCCAGAAACCCCCCGTGTCCTGGGGGCATCAAAAGAAGCATTAGCAGCAGGGCGAGGGAGGGGATTGTCCCCCTCTGCTCTGGTGAGACCCCACCTGCAGTGCTGCCCCCAGCTCTGGGGTCCTCAGCACAGGACAGACACGGAGCTGCTGGAGCGGGGCCAGAGGAGCCCCGGAGATGGGCAGAGGGAGCACCTCCCCTGTGAGGACAGGCTGAGAGAGTTGGGGGTGTGCACCCTGGAGAAGAGAAGGCTCCGGGGAGACCTTCCAGCAGCTTCCAGTGCTGAAAGGGGGCTACAGGAAAGATGGGGGGGCTGTGGATCAGGGAGTGGAGTGATAGGACAAGGGGTAACAGGTATAAGCTGAAAGAGGGCAGATTTAGACTAGACATTAGGAAGAAATTTTTTCCTGTGCGGGGGGTGAGGCAGTGGCCCAGGGTGCCCAGAGAAGCTGTGGATGCCCCATCCCTGGAGGGGTTCAAGGCCAGGCTGGATGAGGCTTTGGGCAACCTGGGCTGGTGGGAGGTGTCCCTGCCCATGGCAGGGGGGTTGGAACTTGATGATCTTTAAGGTCCTTTTCAGCCCAAACCATTCTATGATTCTATGATACATTTAAGGAAGATCAACCTTATCAATAACATTTTCATGCGAACATGAAACACAGTGCAGACAGTCCTGCGGCTACAGAAATCCAATCTCTGCAAATTCCGAGTTGCATTTTGTGAAAAATAAGATATTACTAGGAATTTTGCCTCTTAATGAGCTACAGCGTCAGTAAATTATAAGCAGCAATGTATATTTGAGTTGCTAAAATTTGAAGCAAGACAAGCAAAATTCTAACTACTGAGGCACCACTGCTGGAACCGACAGCTACCAGCTGAACTTTCAGATGGCACAAAGGATGAGCAGCTTTGGTTAGATGTTTCTGTTGAATCCAAATAGGCAGTCCAATCTTCATAAAGTTCCTCCAAGAAACAGTTGCATTTTGGACAGGCTACAGGCTACAAAGCAAAAGCTTGTACTTGGAGCCACTCTGAACATAAAGCAATGGAACAGGAGGATAATGACTCCGAGTAGAAAATAATCTCATAGGATGGCGTGAGAATTCAGCTAAGCATGATTGTCAAGCCAGGAAACATTTCCTCTAAAGAATTCACTTCTGGCTTAACTTCAATGTTTCAAAATATTGTAAAGACAGATTATGAATAAAGGAAAACTTTGATCCTGTGCTTCTGGAGAAAGACCCTTTTCTACATTTATCCGTGCAGCGAAATCAGCCTCTGCTTTTTCTCACAGCAACTCCTGCCTCTCTTCCCCTTTGCCATCGGGGCAGCGGGCACAGGATGACCAGAGACTGCCTGGGGTCAGCCCAGCCAGCGCCTCCCAGGCTCAGATGGGACTGAAAACACAACAGGCAGACAGCAGCCTGCACTGCTCAAACCATAGATCAATTCTGTCCCTGAATACTTCTACAGACCATCATGCCAGGCACGGCTAAAGTCCAGCCGCTCCCCATTACTCACGCACCTGGCAACCTGACTGTACGGCCGCTGCTCACCCCGGCACTGGCCATGGGCTGCCGAGTCCATGGTCCATGGAGCAGCACCGTGACCCTGCAGGTGCTGGGACACCAGCAGTGGAGGCCTGTCCCCAGATTCATACCCTGCAGCTGGGGCTGCTGCTGTCCCTGAAGAACAAGGGGACGGACAGACCAGTAGAGTCAATCCTGGCGCCTTTGCGCTGTCCAGATGTACTGCGAAAGGGCAGGAGGTGTTCTCCTTTCTCAGACGGCAACCTTTGCAGGGGCACGGGCGGAGTCCAGAAGGCTGTTTGTGCATTTGGGAAGCAACAGTCTCGAGCATGATGCAGCCAAGTATTTATTTTGCGCTCAGTTTCAGTTGTAGTATTTTGGCATTTTTGGAGTATGCAGCAGTGCCACGTGAAGAAGCACATAAAGCACTTATACAAGGGGCTTCCATGGAGAAGCTGGAATCCCATTTCAGAAAAGTAATCCCTTGGGGTGATGTGCAGGGCCCTCCTAGGAGGTGAACCGGCACCCAGCACTGGGACTTGGCTCCCAAGCTCCAGAGATCTCCATACCCTAACACCAAATGCACCCTCAGTTAAGATTTGTTCTGCTGCTAATTTCCACAGTACCGACATCCTGCTGAGCAGGACCACACCTAAACAGCGGAGGAGCTGAACCATTTGACCCAGAAAGACCTGCTCTCCACCCTTTTATCCGAGGGGAAGCACAGAATTTCACAAAAGAAACAGACTGCACAAGATCCAAGAAAACCATTTTTCCATGTGTTTCTTTTTTCCTGTTAGCACCAGTGCTCCTGCTAGCTCGTAGCCAGTAAGTTCTTCCTTTTCATCACCAGCTTCATTCCCGATTATCCTGAACACACAAGAGGATAATTACCTTAGTGCTGCTGTGTTGGCTTTCTATGACCCACAGGCAGCAGCGTTTCACCTTAACGGCTGTGGAAGGCTTTGGAAGGCATGTCACAGCAGAAAGAGTGCCAATTCATCCTTTTAACTCTGTAACTTGGATTAGCACAAACCATGGATCAAACCCCTCAAAAGATCTGTACTCGGTTGCTATTTGGCCAAGTACTCTGTGCCAGTGGCACACTGGCTTTCCCAGAAAACGGTGGAGAGGTGTGAGGAGACTCCAATTGCAAGAAAGCTCATTTAAAAATAAGTGTCACTGCTTTACGGGTGGGTTCATCACCAGGAATTCAGAGGCCCTCAAACGTACTTACTCTCATGCAATTATGATTCATTTTGTATGCTTTGGATCACAAATCCTACAGAGCAGAGCAGCTCTGCCATTCCTCACACCCATCTATAAGCCCTTCAAAGTATTTGAACATCAGTATTTGACAATTTTTATTTCAGACTCCCTTTCTGAGACTGCCAAACAGACAATAAAATTGGTAATTAGCATGATCTTAAAAAAGTGTATATTAGGGTCAGGAACGGTAACTCCTTACTTGGACACAAAAATTACAAATATCCATTACAGAGACAAGTGGCATAGAAAAGTAATTTTGTTCATTCTGAGTAGGAAGAAATAACTCAAGTTCCTCTACCTTTATTAATTCCTTCAGTATAAAATTTTTGATGATACGACAATGTGGTATGTTCCACATCTAAAATGTAAATCTTCTAATACCAGGCAATGTAAGAATCCTTCAATATTTGACAGTGCTTTAATTAACATCTGTAAATATTTGCTGCCAACTACCTCGTAATGTTTATTCAAGGTAGTTTGAGAGCGTGATCACAGGAAAAACAAACTCTATTTTTCCTTACAGATTAACTCAGCCAACAGGGCGGTAATTAGATCTGAGCCCGTTTCTCAGAGTGCCTACATCACCCATCTTGGATGGAAAGTTCTCACAGCAGGAAACACACCTTATGATGTTTTAAAAAAGGGGGTTATTTTTTACAACAAGGTTTAACAAGTTTACACTGAATTTTTTAAATTCAGTGGAGAATTTCCTATACTGCTGGAAATTATTACTACGCAAATAATCCCGTGTTTTCAATGTGAAGGAAACACAAATGAAAGGCACCATTTCATGTACATACAGCCCTCAAGATATTTAGCTCGGCAACATTTCACCTTGAGAAAAGCCCATCACCGTATGTACATATTGCTGTCCACTCTAACCAGCAAGCTTTACAGAACACATCACACCAGTGTTAGAACTAAGCACTAGAAATAACAGATACACCTGAGGGTACCAACATACAGCAAAAGCCAGCCTCACGTGGAGCTGGGATCGCATCCCTGCTGGTTAGCCAGTGCCTAAGCCTCAGCTCCGTGTAAGAACATCCAGTCCCTAAAATACACAGAAACACAGGAGATGACTGGATCTTTCTACACATGGAACAGTCTTCAAACACCTTTTTGCATGTATACAAAAACCTGCATGTGCATTTTATATACCTGTTCGTGTATACAAAATCAACTAGGCATGAACAAGCCTCTTAGAAGTCAAAGGCCAGACTCCCAGGCTGTATTTACAAACAGCACTTGAACTGCCTGTGCTAATTAGAGAGGAAACTGAACTCTCAACTTTTTACCTACGATACTCCAGAAAACCACAATGAACATTCAGCATGCTCTTTAGAGTTGGATATCTAAGAGGTATTTCCTTTCTTACTCTGATCTAAGTCTGTTTAGGTTGAAGCACTCAACGTTTGATTTTGGAGATAAGTTTCCATCATCCAAACAACCTGTAAGCTCCATGTTCACACTTCAATA